CGAAGTCGGGTGTTGTCGCCAGGGCTACCTTGAAAGAAGGATGCAATCTCAAACATGATCCTCTTTCTTCTATTTGTCTTTCTGCCGAGGTATCGCAGCTCCCGCTGACTTAAATGCTATTTCCTATTTCCTATTTCCTATTTCCTATTCCGGTGAAGCCAAAGCATAAGGATAGAGATAGTCATAAGCCAACAAAACTGAACATTGATGGTTCAATACAAGTTAGGGGTAGGAATAAATCATCAATATTTAAGGTTAGTGCAATCAGCACAACAGCACAATAAGCCAGCAGGAGCTGTAAAGGTTAGAGTTACAATAAGGGAATGGCAGCTGGTAAATTATAGAGTAGCGGGCGGCAACACACGACGTAGTCGGGTGTTGTCGCCAGGGCTAGCTTGAAAGAAGAGTGCAATCTCAAACATGTCATCATTCTTCTATCTGTCTTTCTGCCGAGGTATCGCAGCTCCCGCTGACTTATTTCTTAGTACAAAATGAAAGGTTCTTGGACAGCGCCCCGGAAAACGAGAACTTTGGAAGTTTGTACTAGTAGTTGCAGATTTAACAGGATCAAAGTTCAACTCAGATGTTCCAAAGGCAACTCACTAATTGAACAGTTGCCGGATTCATTCCGATGAGACTTGTGTCTGCTGAACGTTGGAAATTGATGTTGAATGTTGCGTTTCTTGTTTCTTGTCCTAGCTAGTTGGTTTGCGGTTTGTGCTTTACTCCTAGCTATGATACTAGAACTATCAAGTCAGCAAGGGAAGTCTCGCTTACCAGCTCTGTCCAACAGAACAATGAAGGAAGCAGCACCAGCCAGCATGGAGAACCAGTGCTCAATGCAGATGGCTGTCTCTCTCGTATCGTCCGCTCCTTTAGCAAAGCCACAACAATCATTTCTGTGTACCGGTAGCTTGTCTTGACGGTTCCTTTTGTCGCGCTGATGCTCGTTCACACTGAGAGGAAACTCCTGCCACCAGTGCTTGTAGAACTGCCGCCAGTTCCTCTCTCCCGTGGATGAAGGCGCTTTCGGTTTCGTCTGTTCCAGTGAGTCTGTATCCCAAGATGATGTGCAAAAGAGGGCGTCAACAGCAACATGTCTGGTGGACGAGTTCTGGTTTGTCGGAAGTCTGGCACGGCATAAGCCACACCGCTGGTGTTGGCATGAGTCGTGTTGAGACTAGGAGGAGAAAGCATCAACCATTCCTCTTCAAAGTTCCTGCTGTCGTCAGTAGTCGTACTCTCTGTCAGATCACCTTCCTCAGTTCTAGTCTTCTTTGCATCTTCGGGGGCATTGGCCTTTTCCTTCTGTAAATAGTACATGTAGAGGCTCGGGGCTCCATTGTTGCCAGATTCTTTTGACGTGGCTTCTTCGGTCTCGTCAACTGGGTTGTTGACCGTGTGCAGAGAGATCATTTCAGCAGCATGCCTCCTCCGAAACTCTAGCCGTGGTATGCGTCGTTGTTCCTCTTCTGGGGATGGCAACAACGGAAGGCAGATCTGGGATGGCACCCCAACCCAAGAAGAGACTTTGAAGCTGGCACGAAACCTTACAGCAGAGGTACGGCGCACCAAGTCTTTCATCATGAATGGCTGCTGGGTTGGTTGTTGGGAGTTGTTGTGGCTTCTCGCTTGAAACTTCGTGCTGCATAAAAATGAAAAGTGGCCACGTACTGAGTTGGAACGTGTGCAGCTGTTCGCGCCCAAAAACCTTCACGGAACGTTCGAAGCATGTCTCACGAGCAAGCACCCCGAATCGAATCGAATCGAATCGAATCGAGTCGAATCATTCGGGCCTTATACAGGATTCCACTTTTAGGTCAAGTGGAGCTACTAGACTATAGCAAGATCATGTCAATATGGGTCTATAGAGGTTGTAAACCTCCCCTCCAGACTAGGATCCAGGCAAAGGCAATGGCCCTGG